GCCTACCATGCCCTGAGATCATAGTTGTTGTTGGCCTCATCAGGCTATGGAGCTACACTTCATTTTTTCCCTTGAAGAACTTGGCCCAGGTTGGTGGAAGGATTTTATTAGCTCTGCAGAAAAATCAAAGCTATTGTCAGAGTGATGCTTTCTTGTGATGTGACCTCCCATGCTCCTACGACTTAGAAAGAGCTCCTCTCTACTTACAACTTCTCTGTGTGAAGCAGCCAGCCCTGGGACAGATACACTAAGAACACCAGCCAGCAAGCTCAGACAATTGTAATGCAAATGTAGAAACTGAGCTTCAAAAAGCAAGTGCACACACATACCTGTGTACTTTAATTAGGTTTACATGTATGTCTATGTGTAGGTGTAGTTGTCCTAGAGCTAAACTTGCAGGTGTGAACAATGGGAATCGAACCCAGGTTGTCTACAAATGCAGCATGTGCCCTTAACTGCTGAGTCATTTCTCCAGCCTCTATTTTTAATGGTTCAGAGGTCTAGGGAGACACAATGTTGAACTGTTAATGGAGTCTGTGGGACTTGTCATTGAGTTAAGCTTTTCTATTCATGATTCACGAGGAGCAAGAGTTTGTTTCATCACCTTCATCTGGATGAGATTGAATCTGGACTCGTTGATTGCAGAACCATCATTGGTTTACTTTGTTGTCCCTATTGTCATTTGTTCATCAGAGGGGACAGGATTTCCCTTCATAGCCCAGTATGGCCTTGGATAGACTGTAGATGTGTACCACAGAACTCATGGCTTGTTTTCTCTTTTTCAAAAACCACAATGGAGTCTGGGGATGTAGTCAGTGGGTAGAGTGTTTGTCTAGCATTCATGAAGCTAGGTTCAATGTCCAGAATCATATAAATCAGATGCGATGTGCCTGTGAACCCCACCCTTGAGAGGTAGAAGTAAGGGGCCCCCTGATCCTCATTCTCAGTTACACAGTGAATTCCAGGTCAGCCTGAGAAATTAAATCCTGTCCCAAACAAACAAGCAAACAATAAGAATAAAGACTAAAAATCCATACAGGTCAGAGATGGTACAATGGAAGTCAATGGAGTAGCTATACACCTGACAGAGAGAAGGATTACGTTGGACATTATGTAATTAAGGTCATAATAGACTTTGGAGACCAGAAGAGGAGCTTCAGCTCTGAGTGGGAGTTTCAGGGTCCTCAGAGGCCTTGCAATGCTCTCTGCCTAGTTAAAGAGGTCCCTAGGGTCTGTCAGCTTCATAACAGAAGTCCAAGTCAGCAAAGACCTGAGCCTAGTGTCTGACTTCCATACGGACCAAAAGAGGAAGGAAAGCTTGGTAAATTCACAGGCAAAAGTGATGGGCCTTGTATTTGCCACTGAGCTATACATGTCTAGTCCCTAATTTGCAAACTCCTGCACTGTTGAAGAACTTAAGGTTTTAATCACATCTATACGTGTGTTCTTATTTAAAACTTATTACCATCCCGGGAAGTAAAAAACCCATTGTAACTGGAAACATTAAGCTAAAAAAAAAAAAAAAAAATTGGTAAGAGACTTGCACAGAATTGCATCTCTCTAGTGGTGCCAGGACTATCCACTGTATATCCTAAGCCCAGATTTATCTAGCAAGTCCATCTGGCTTTGTAAACGTCTCCTAGGCCAACATATCCATGCCCGTGTATTACCAGACAGATTCCTGGTAAACTTTTGCCCCACTCAGCCAATGCTTCAGACTTACTTTATTTTTAATTCTTGTGATAAATGTGTGTATTGTGTAGGTATACATGCTTGAGTACAGTGCCTGCAGAGGCCAAAAGAGATCACCTGGAGATGGAGTTAAAGGCAATCCTCACCCAAAGTTCTGAGAGCCAAACTCCCAGCCCCTGTAAGAGCAGTAAGAGCTCTTAACCCCGAGCCATCTCTCAGCCCCATTAGTCAACATTTTCGATGCTGGATAGAGCTTTGTATCATTAAGGAAAGAAGATGGACAAGGTTGTGTTCAGACACTGACTCAGAGTTGGTTCTGGAATATCACCACACACCATGCTTATAAAGCGTATTCCAGGGAAAAGCACTTTGAAATCTAGCTAGTAGAGCACTACTTGCTGGCTTATTTTTAATCTGCATGTGTACCTGCAGTTCTAGAATATAATAAGGAAATAATGTACTGGTAGGAATACAGTCATGCTTGAATACCCCAGCAATGTCAAGTATTTATAGACAGACAGTTCTTCCTGGTCACTCTCCGTTTCCTGCTGTGATCTTGTTGTAGATCAGTGACAGCTCACAGACCAGCTCGAGGGCAGCAAATCACATGTTGAGAACCACCCCTCCAAGGGAAACAAGTCCTAACATTCCCTGCAGAGAGTGCTTCCTGGAACTGAGCTGTGGCACATTCCCAAATCACAGGCTTGGGAAGATGGTGGTGTCTGAATTAAATAACTGCACTGATCAACTAGCATTTCCAAACTGACCTGACTTCATAACTCTCTTCACAGAATCTTTTTTTTTTTTTTTAAACACCGGGAAGACTCATGTTTTTCAAAACACATTTGGTTCTGCTTTGCATATTGTAAGGCAATACCCCAGGCATTATGTCTCTGGCCTTTCCCTACCTTGAGCTCCCAGTCCTCCTGCCTTCATTCTCTGGGTGCCGTAGTTGCAGATACAGGCCACCTGCCACCTGGCTCTTTTCTCTTTCTTCCTTTCTCTCCAACACGTATAATCCATGCCTACTTCTGCCTCCTGCCCAGTACTCATATGAATGACCACACCCTTGCAGACCAAAGCTACCCATATGGCTGAGGCATCTCTCACTACAATTTGCCACAGAATCCTGAAAGCATGTTGGCTGACCTCCTTCCTGAAGGGGACTCATAGTGGGGGGTCTCATGTATCTGCAGTAACCTCCAAACCCAGTTCTACCTCCCTCCTTCCCTCCCACCACCAGTACATATCATGTGTGTGCCTTCATGTCTGAGGACTTCCTGCACTGCAGTGACTGCTGGCCCTTGTTCCCGGTTCACAGGCCTCTCCCCAATGCCCCCCCCCCATACAGGTGTGGAGACTTAGACCTCTGCTTTCCTACCTTGGCCTGGGGAGTCTTTATGCTACAATGTCTCCCACAGACATCCCAAAGCATTTTTCTCATTCATATGTGCCTCAAGAACTCTAACAGCAACAATTCTATGTAAACTTCCAGATGTATGGCTTCCTTTCTGCAGGTAACCTCATGATCCTAAATGAGCTTGTCTGTTCTCTAGTCTATTGATACCATGGCCTTCATATTTGACGGTTCCGGCTTTTGCTGTGTTCTCTCAAACCACATGCACCTAAGGGTACCATCTCTAATAGCCACACAGACTCTGAGTTCCCCTTCCATCCTGCACTTTTCAGGATGCCCTGGGGCAGGGGTGGTGGGGGAGAAAGAGGCTAGCCAGGTCCTTGTCCCAGCAAGGTTTCACCTCCAGGTTTCTGACCTTGCAGTATCTACAGCACTTGAACCCTTGAGGCAAACTATGCTAGCCTATATTTCCCTGATATGAGTAGCTTATGATTTATGAATAGACATACTCCACCACAAAGGGTTTGAGGTTGAATGGATTTGGTAAATAGTTGGGTATGCTAACATACATTGTGAATCTTGAGGGAGAGGCTATCTAGGAAAGGTTTCTCTAGGTGCCCTTGTCCTGTAAACCCTCCTTTCAAAGAACCTCTATGGAAGAGGTTCCTGCTGCCCTGATGCCTCTTGGAAAACACTGACTGTGGGTAGCTTCAGTCCACAGAATCCTGCCAGGTACCCAGGACCTCATAAAGTCCTTCAAATGCACTTCCCAAATAGCTGGAAAAATGGACATCTCTTTGCAGAGATTTTCCTTCGCTCTGCCTTTTGAATGATAGATAAGTTGAGACTTCACCCAATACTGTTATTTACTTTTCTATAAGTATTCCTTGTATAATTTATCATCCACAGCCCTAATGACTTCCCAGGCTGTATTTCTAGCTCAGACCTCTCCCCTGAGCTCAGGGCTCCATACATCCTGCTGTCTTCTGAACAAGTTACCTATCGGAGATCTTTAGCAGAGTGCCCAGCCAGCACTTCCAGTGTGCTTTGTCCTATATACAAGTAATTACACCATCATAAAACTCCATTTTCTGTGTGCCACCAGTTAACCAGAAACCTGAAAGTATTCTAAACTTTTTCTACTGAGCCCACCACTCCCTCATTACACACACACACACACACACACACACACACACACACACACCAGGCCAGGTTGTCAGTTCTCCGGATTCCTCCTCCTGAGAAGTGTATTCCACTCCTCAGCTGCCACCGTGTAACTCTGGGTCTTCCCTACAGAGTTTGTCACCTGGCTTCTGTCTCTGCTCAGAGTTTCTGGGAGACAGACTCTGTTTCAGAGAATTGCATGCTGGGAGGAGATGGGGAGTACCTTTAAAAGTACCTACTGCGGGGGAAGTGTGAAGTTAGCAGAGTGAGGTAGGGCCACACACACACACAGGCCACACACATACACACAAGTAAATTAATAAATGTAATTAAAAAAACTAAAGTACAAATTAGGAGCTAGGGAAATGACTCAGTGGTTGAGAGCATGTCAAGTGGTTCACAACTGCCTGTTAACTCCAGCTCTGGGGGATCTGCCGCCCTCTTCTGGCCTCGATTGGCATCTGCACTCATGTGTACATACCCACACACAGACACACATAGAAGTTTTAAAGAATTAAATGTCATTTTGGTAGAAAAACTCAAACCTACCAGTTCATTCAAGCCTGGTGGAGCCTAGGACAGAGTGCAGAAACTGATAGATGCCAGGACCCACCCACGGTGTACAAAATTCCACCAAACCTCAGCTTTCTGTACCTTTATTACACTCCTTCCCAGCCATCCTCGATACTTCAGTCAGGGGTCATCAGATAAAATGTAGGCCGTGAGGAACGGCCGGCCAATCCCCCACAGGGAATCTGTCCTAAACATCTTCCATGTGTCTTTGCAGCTTGCAAAAGGAAAGAGCAAGAACATGGGAAGGACAGAGGCAACACCCCCAAAAAGCCCAGGCTGGTCTTCACAGACGTCCAACGTCGAACTCTACATGCAATATTCAAGGAAAATAAGCGTCCGTCCAAAGAATTACAAATCACCATTTCCCAGCAGCTGGGGTTGGAGCTGAGCACTGTCAGCAACTTCTTCATGAATGCAAGGAGGAGGAGTCTGGACAAGTGGCAGGATGAGGGAAGCTCCAATTCAGGCAATTCATCATCTTCATCAAGCACCTGTACCAAAGCATGAAGAAGGAAGAACCACGGACTAGAACCTCGGTGGAAAAGCTTTAAATTTAATTAATTAAAAAAAAAGTTTTTAAAGACCAGGACCTCGACATAGCAGGTTTATACTTAGAAATATTTGAAGAAATAAAAGTGGTATTTATAGTCCAAAGAAACCAAAGACTTAAAGCTCACCTGCATTCTGACTTTGTTCCGAGATGCATACTTCAGCGGGGCAAGACTTGGCAAGAAAAATGATCGGGAAAACATTGGATCTCACGCCTTCAACCCCCTGCGCCTCACTGTGTTTGGCTGCTTGGTGGCTCCAAGCACAGTAATGTCTGAGCCATCGGGCGGTCGTCTCTTAAGATCATCTCTTCCACCACACCACAAAGGTGTATAGTGTCTCAATATCACGGGTGGGCGGGTGTGCCTTACAAACACACCCACCCACCACCACCAGTGATCAGGGACTCAGGCAGGGCTGGTCTTCAGGAAGGGTTGCACCGTAGGAGTGTGACCAACAGAGTGGGGTTTTCTAAATTCGTTGGATTTAAGGTGTGATTTCTCTCATCTAGCCTAGCGTTTGAACCTGCCAGGCCCACAACCTAAATGCAGATTCAAACCCAGCAAAGAAAATTTGAATGGCGCCTAAACCAGTGCACTCTCTTTGTTTGTTAAGAAATGTTCAGATATTTTTTAAAAAAAAATGAAACAAGAGTCCATCCATTAAAAAAAAATATCACCCAGGTACCAAAGAACACACAATATTATAGTGCAGGTATTTTATTGCAATGATTTTAATAACCAAAGCTATTTTTACACAAGATACTATGTAAAGTTATACATATGAACTGATCTAGCTGTAATCCACATGTCACGTAGATTCAGGACTATTATTTATGACTCTTGAAGCATTTGAAATATGAGTTTTCAGAACTGGCAAGGAAGAATGTAGCTTCAGGGAAGCAGTTACCACCATGACAGAGAGGTCGAGGAGGTGTACACAGGATCCATAAATGTCATTTACATAGAGAAAAGACATAATGCGTAATCTACACATAGCCAAGAGGATGTGAAGTCCCTTTCAAAGTTGGTCCCCACATAAACATTAGGAAAATAAGCTTAACAGGGCCGATAACTAAATTAGAGAAATTGTCCAAACTGATCATTTTTAGTAAATGTCTCTAAAAAAAAAAAAAGACTAATTTTGCTTAAATTTACTTTATGAATTTGGCACCAAATATTTTTTTAAATCCTTCCCAAGCACTAATGAAGCAAGTAGCTCAATATTAATAACAATTAGTTACCCCATATTTTGCAACTATCCTAAAAAGCAATTGAACTGACTTCATTGCCAACTTCAGATGTCCTGTCAGGTAGACATCAGAAAAATAGCAAGTGCCACTGAGAGATGGCAGAATAGAAGAAGTGCATAGAAAAGCCAGAGCTCCAGTCTCACAAGAGACTCCCGGTTCTCTCAGCATTAGAAGACGAACTTTAACATTCCCTCTGGCTATTAGCCAACCTGGAAATTTTATCTCAAGGCTTCCACTCCCTAACAGGGAAAGACTAAAAATAAGACCCAAGCTTCCTGCCCAAAGTTTTGACTCTTTCCAAATCATTTAACTGGGGCTGCGCAGACCAAGGCAAGAAGCGAAAACAAAGTTCTAGAAATCAATTGACATCCAGAAACACTCTGAACTCGGCTGAACTACAGCGAACATGAACAGACACCCGCTGCACAGGGAAGTAAAAAACGGGGTACCCTCAATTGAAATCACAGCCAACTAGAAATATAACCCCAAACGTTACCCTAACAGTAAACTGTTCATTGAGATTCACTAAAATGCCAGAAGAAAAAAAAAGATTAAAATTTTATAACACAAAATCTCACTCCTGGGGATCAAACCCAGAGAGAGGCGCCCCTAAGCCAAGCATACGCCTTGACATGTTTTGTTGTAGTATGTTTAAAAGTTCACCTAGCATTCCAACTTAAAAGGTTTTTTTTTTTTTTCCCTCTAAATACGGCACAATTCTAGTTCAATCATGAAGAACCAGTAAATCGCCATCCTCCGAGATTTGCTGAAGTTTCCAGTATTGTAAACAAGAGCTAAAAGTAGAAACTTTATTTTCTCTCTTCATAGTGGAGGGGCTGGGGAGTATAGGTGCATTTATAGTATAAGAGGAGGGATAGCCTTATTATTTAAAGCAAGAAATTAAAAATTCAGGGGAAACCTAACTGTGTCTATACACAGTCTCACCAACTTTCAATACTCCAAGAAAAGAAGAAAAAAAGATCCAGTCAACTTGTGTCTTGGCTTTGCTTTTATGTTATTTTCATAATTAACCCAACTGATTTTTTTTCAAGCCAATCATTTTGGTACTGTGGAGGCACAGTCATATATATATATATATATATATATATATATATATATATATATATCTCCACATTTTAAAAATCCCACCATGATGGTTATCTGAGAAATAACCAGTTACCCTACTTGCTGACACCAAAGATGATTTCATACCAGCATTAAATTTGCACCAATCACACAATTTCAGGGCCTAGAGACATATTTTCTCATAAACAGAGGCACAAGGCAGAGCCTGTAAAGCAATTTTCTTACTTGACTGAGCATATTCCAAACGTTTGCTTCTTAGAAACCATAGCAGATACACTCAGCTTTCCTAAGCAATATCTTCTCACACCCTGTAGGAACAGCGCTTTCTTTGCTTTGGAAATGACTTTCAGAGACCACGTTTCCTTTCCTGATTCATGTAACACTAACTGTTGGCTGCTCTCATGCTCTACAGAATGGATGGTATCATTTGGCATTTCTCAGTCCTTTCCTACCATTCACCACAAGAGCTTATCAGACTTCAAATACTTTTTTCTTTCCTTACTCTCTCTCTCTCTCTCTCTCTCTCTCTCTCTCTCTCTCTCTCTCTCATATAGTGTTTTTGGCCGTAAGTCAGTCAGATCCTCCAAAAACAGGAAGCTTCTGCTGAAAGCCAGCAGGGATGTTTGGAGTCTGGAGACTGTAAAACTTAGATCTCAGTAACTATCCAGATAGAGGAATTCTGGATGCCTGGGTCTGAGTACTCCTGTCTCTGAGCCCCTTGGGAATTGATTCCAAAGACCAAAGAAAATGTATGGGGAGGTTCACAAGTTCTGACAGGGCTCATCATGCCCCTCAACCCCCAGAAACAAACAACAACAACAACAAAAAAAACCTTAATTATTTTCCCAGAACAACATAAAAGTGCTTGCTACATTTGGACCCACCCAACTCCCATTGCTACCCCAGGTGAAGAACCCGTCTTTGCAGATTAAATGCAACTTTGCTATACCAAAGAGTCTAAGGACGTTTTCCCTATGGTCCACCCTCCCTCCTCTGTACATACAGGATGAAACTATGCATTTAGCAAACAAAGAGAAAGCACTTCTCCCTTCTCTATCTAGTTGTTTAGGGTGCATTCAAATACCAGAGGCTGTTGGGGGGGATGCACTTGGCCTTCTGGATTATAACTGTGGTGTGGGTTTGCTCTACAGTGCATTTGGTAACTACTTCCCAAATAGCGTGGACAAAGAAGCAGAAGGTAAGAAATAGCTACTTCCATGTGTTTAAAAAAAAAAAAAAAAAAAGAGAGAAAAAAAAAAAAAAAAAAAAAAAAAAAGAGAAAAAAAGAAAAAAAGTGTAAAGATCTACTATTTATAGTGTGAACCAAAGACGCTACCTCACTCAATTTCCATTGGTGATTTTAATCACATTGATATACCAAAGAATACCAAAGATATTTTCATGCACGGCCATGGTCTGCAGAGGGAACTCCGCCCCTTCCCTTCCCACCTTCTCCCTCTTCACTCAGTGTGTAAAGTTGTCTTCATTCTTAATAACAATACAATACCGATAACAACAACATTAGGAACGCCTACTCTTATTACTGCTACTTCTTCTTGTAAATCTCTAGGCAAACACGTTGCAAAGTTTGTAAACTCCTAGGACGAGTGCCTTGCTTGAACCAAAGTGTTAAACCGCTGTTAACCTCTCTCACCTTAGACTCTTTGAATACCTCAGCCTCTTAGAAAGGCCACTAATGAAAAAAAAAAAAGGAATAATTATTCACCGTGGTGCTTTTTCTGCGCAACCATGCAATGAAACTTTCTTTGATACCAAAGGATGACTTCCCCCACCCCCAATTCTTGCTGATAAACCAAAGCTCCTCCTCCTAGTCTTCCCCAAGTCCCCCCACTCCTTCACGGAGTCCCTTCCACAGGCAGGCCGTGTGTCACTTTTACCAATTCCTCCAAATACCTCATAGTAATAAAGCTTTAGGGTTATGTTGTATAGAGAGTCTATGTGATAAGGCAGAACTTACTAGTTTGTTAATTGTTAAGGTTACTTTAAAGAAAAAACAAAAACAAAACCTTTATAATTCTTATTTATTTTGTAGCTGTGTGTTTGGGTGTTCCCATCCCTTTTTGGTTTGGGGTTTGTTTTCTTGACTGAACTGCTCAGTTGCTCAAGGAAGAGTTAATTTTTGGGAATGTTCCCCAAGTGGGTTAAAAGTTAAGGGTTGTGTAAAAATGCAAGAATGGAATAAGAAATGATATTCATTTTGATCATTACTTATGGAAGTTTGTGTTTTGTAGAAAATTTGTTTCCACAGGGTAAAAAAAAAATTATATATATATGATCTTTTTTGTGAAACTGGTTCCTATTTTTCTCTATAATGTGCTGTGATTTGTTTTAATTTAATTACATTTTATATGAACTTATTTAATCACTTTGTTAATTTATGACTGTGTAGTTTTTACAGTGTATATAGTACAATGAAATGGCCAAAACTCTATGTTACAATCTCTTTTGTTCTTGATGCTAAGCTGAAGAAAGAGTGTCTCTTGCCTTCAGAGTGTCTGTTCTATTTAGTTTGTTCTTGGTGAGCACACCCACACGTGCTCTGAACACTGCCAGCTCCCCCTCAAAAACTTGTACATGCCAAACGAGAGTACCAAGGTAGAAGGATGGAAGGCATTACCTGTGGTTTTCCTTTCATTTATTTATTTCTTAAAATTACTATGCAGGTAAGACCTGAAATTTCAAAACAGCTCAAGATCGTTCCCAATGTCTCGAAGCACCTGTGTCTGTGGGATACTTTGCTCCAGCGCTGTGTTTGTTTCTTTGTTTGTTTGCTTGTTTGTTTGTTTTTTAACTATCCAAGCATGGGTATAAGAAGTCAAAGTATAAAAACCTAAAGAGACAAGCTAACTTGAATCTGGAAACCCTCTTAATGCCTGCCTTCTTTCCGCACTTCCGCACAGCCGCCAAGCTGTCTTTGAGAGAAAGACAGGGCTGGGGGGCA